GTGAACCATTAAATATGTCACTGAAACTGAGTGACTGACAGAAGGAGGAGCTTTGGGTAAACCTGCATACTTTGTGATATTGTCTTGAGTGGAGGCTAACTTATTTTTTTATTTAGAATTTGGGTGTTACTGATGTCTCCCTTCCCCTAAATATTACATTAAACTGTAGGTTTAATTGTAATATTTATCATAATTGTAAAGTGTCTGTCTATCTATCTATCGGTAACAGCAGAAATTAAACTGAATAATTACAAAAATGGGAGTTTATCCAGTTTATCCAGTACACACTGCAAACTTATACACAGTCAGCAAGTGGACCTAAGGCTGCTTAGTAAAGAGGTATTTGACACAAAGTAAAGCACTGTGGTACAGGTCTTTTAATATGCTTCCCCTTCTTCATAAAAAATCTGAAAAATCTGTTGGAGGGTTTTGACTGTGAAAGATATTATTGCAACCTGATGAACACCTCCTGTGTCAGGGTCCTGGGTCTCCTGACCCAGCGTTTTAGTTCTTTGTGGGTTTTGTATTATTGTACTTGATGTGAGTTTCTATGGTTTCTAGTTTCAATCCCTTGCCCTTCATGTTTCTCTATGTCCCCTCTGTTCTGTGTAAGTCTGTGTCTGCATGTTTGAGTTCCCCTCTGTGTCTCTCGGTTCTTAGAGTCCTCTGCCTTATGGTTTATGTCTCTGTGTTTCTTAGTTGCTGTCTCCACTGTGTTAAGTTCGCGTCTCTGTGTGATCCTTCCTGTTTTACTTTGAAGGTCCGTGACTTATGTGAATGTGTCCTGCTTTGCTTGTCTCGTCAGTTCTAATTTCCCCCAGCTGTGCTCTCCTTCTGTGTCTCATTCTCCTCGTTACTTCCCAGTGTATTTAGACCCTGTGTTTCTCTGTGTCAGTGTTGCGTCGTACCCTCAACAAGCTGTGTGTGTTTTGCCTCTGTGTTACCAGTGTTTTGTCTCCAGCTCCAGCTCTAGTTCCAGTTTTTCTGCTTCAGTGTTTTAGTCCACCAGCGTTTTTGTTTGTCTTTTGGTGAGTTTAGTTAGTAAGAGGTTTTCCAGCAATAAAGCTGCGCTTTTAGTTGAACTTCTGTGTCTGAGTCCTGCATTTTGGATCCACCTTTCCTGCTTGCCCGCCTGCCACACAGCCAACCATGACATCCTGGAAATATGAGTGACCACTAATACTAACAGTATCTCTAGTCAGACTTTAAAATTGGTGATTAATTTTTGTTTAATTCTATCTTATTATTAAATGTAATTTAGAGCATGTTAAATGCATGTTAAAATAATAATATGATATGCTTGGGTCATGATTGAAAAAAAGATGGTGTGCTCAGCTGAAGCTCTTCTACTCCGTTTTATATTTAACGAGAAAAAATAAAAATATTACTTGATGACCACGGCTGTGAAAACTGACTAGTTAAAACAGAAAGCTGACAGTTCTTCATTTACATATATCTATAAATAATAGATGAACTCATGCAGGTGCATCCTGGGAAAGAAGAGAAGAGAGAGAAAGGTGATGGTTCACTGACTGAGGATGCAAATTAATGCAGGGTAGAAACAACACGTCATCTTAGTGTCACTGTGACCTTTTGTATGTTTATCTAAACTTAGGAAGCACTGCTCACTGGTGTGCAGCGATTGTACATTACGCTGTGACAAATAACACATACTTAAGCCTTTTCTGGCAAATATAAGATGAAAACAACAAAAGCAACAAAGAAAGAAGTATGAGTACAGTTTAAATGAACAACACTTTAAGGTTTTTTTTATGTAAAATTAAAAAAAAATTCATGTATGAATATTTTAAACTGCATTTTATTAAAATAAGGGAAAAGACAGCAAAACACAAATTCCTAAAACTATGCAGTAATGACAAGAAAATATACTCATGGTGTAAATCTTATGCCTTATTCAGATTTCCAACATGAATATATTTTAGCAAACAGCAGTAGACAAGCCACTTTTAAATGCACATTCTGGTCCTCGACTATTCAGTGGGACATTCTGACTTCTTGATGGTTTTCTCTGAAGTCTGTGAGGCCAAAGACACTTTACATGTATAAACCTTATTCATGTTCCAGTCTGATGTCTGGATGGTCAGAGAGCTGCTGATTTGGTAAGTCTGGTCTGGTCTCTGAACAGCAGTGCTTGTAGAGATCCCACTGCTCACTGGACTCCCAGCAGCCAACCAGCTCACATCTGCAAAAGGCACAGACTGACTGGACAGACAGACCAGAGAAGCTGTGTCGGACTGGAGCTCAGCACTGGACGGAGGGAAGACTGTCAGGACAGGAGGAGGGAGGCTGGAGCCTGAAAATACATGAAGAACATTCAGGAAATTGAAAAATCAAAGGAAATGTAATTAAATAATGAACACAGAAGAAATCAAGACATCAATAAGAGTCAATATGGAATAAACATAATATTTGTTATGAAATTAGAAGAAAACAATACTACTACACTGTTATTTGCAAAAATATACAGACATAACCCAACATAGCAATTGAATTTCTTTATAAGTTTTCCCAAAATAAAATATGATTAGCTACTCTTTAACTTTTCATGTAAGATGTCATGAATTTAATTCTGGTTTCTGCATAACATGTCAGCATTTTTCTTTCTTTAAAAGAAATGGTACGGCCAGGTTCTAATCACTTAAAATTAATTTTTAACTTTAGTAACACTGTTAACTGCTATTGAAGAAAGAGAAAATGGGCCTATGTTTTTGAAATGCCAACCCAAATATAAATTAAAACATTATGAGAATAATAAGAATGAACAATATCATATTTCACATCATTCTCAGTGAACATTTATATAAAAATATACAAATTTGGTTTGACACCTTTTCAGTTTTTTGATTGCACAAAATCACAAAAGATGATGTTGAACAAGAAACATTTTGACTTAGTCATCAGCAGATTTTTGCAAAATCTCTCTTGTTTTATGATCAGTTAAACAGCATTTACTTGTCACAATCAGCTTGGTGCCTTGAAACATCCTGTAGAGACTAACTTTCACTGTCAACATCTCATTCTCTTCATCAATCTGTTCATTTTAAACAATGTTAAAGTGTTTTAAATACCGTCTCTCTCTGTCTCTCTTATTCCTTCATGTCACTTGTTTTGTGCAAGATTGTGCAAGTCCTCGTTATTGGCCAGCATTAATCAGAGCTGCCTCTCAAGAAGATTTTGGTGACAGCCTTTCTTTCTGCCTTATAAATGTGTTTCTAATTACACACTGATGAATACTGAATCTGTTTGTAACAACGACCACCACTGAGAGTAATAGTCCTCAGGTCATATATATTTGTGTGTGTGTGTTTGTGTAATTGTGAACCAAAAATTGGTATTTATGTCAAAGTCTTATTCATTTCAAATAAGTTGAATGTTTATTGTGCTTTTGTTATTCAATTTGTTGGCATTCGTTTGTTGTAAAATAATTCTAAATTAGTATTGTATTCTTTGTTGTTCTTTTTATTCATTAGTCATCAACAACAAAGCATGTGATGTTAAGGGAACATACTATTGCTATCTGTTTGCTTTTGCAAATAAAAGTTTTATTTTTTATAATTTCTATTTGCACATAGCCTTTGGACCAGCTAATAGAGCAGGAAAATACAAGAAATGTATTTTTGACATAACTGTGTAGTGTAAACAGTCACTTTCAAGAACATTTACAGATCATCATTTGGTAGTTTATGGGCACTTGTACTAATTATTTAAGTGAAAATACATAAAATTCATTAAAGTTTCATGGTGCTCCATTTGCTGCTCCAAGGTGCTGTCCTCACCTTTTCTGCCAGGTCGTCGTCTGGTTTCCTGTGTCCTCTTGGCTTCTACACCCACGTGCTACTCACCTGTTGCTCGTCACTGCTAATTGATCCAAGCAGAACTGAAGGCCTTGTTGGAGTGCCGTTCCTCCTAAGTTCCTCGTTGTACCTCCTTTAGTGTAGTCTCTCTAGTGTACTTCCCTGTGTTCCCTGGTATTTCTTCTAACATCTGTCTCCGTCTCCCTGTATAGATCTTCCTGGATCCTTGCTTGTTTCCCTTGGACCTGACATGGATAAGCATAAGTGAGAGTGAGTCACAGTGTGGAATTGGACTGAGTGTGTTTCCTGTTATGGACTGAAACAAAGAGTAGCGTGAGTGAGTTTTCCCTGACCTTCTCTTCGAATTCCTGGAACCTTCTTTGCATTATTCCCGTATATATGTAAATAACTCACCTGGTGTTGTAAATAAAACCCCTTTTGACTACACAGCTCTGAGTCCTGCTTAACTAAATGTGACATTCAAGTATTCTTGACAGAATTCCAGGAAGAAGAATAGACACTGAGTAGATACTGTTTATTTCCTTCCCATGAGTATTATGTCAGTCAGTTTGAGCTTCATCATTTGATCTAGCTCAAACTGACTAGCTCAAATATATACAATAATAATACAATAACTACAACAAATGACACCATCAGAATTACCAAAGTCATGTTTAATCACCATGTCTGACAAAAATAATGTTCTTGAAAAGTGGTTGTAAAAGTATCAAACATTTACTAGTGTCCTTATCCTCACCTTTCTACACTTTCCTTCTGCCTTATAAATATGTTTGTGATCAGTACAAACTAAATGTAAATGAAGATGTCCTAGATGTTCTAAACTATCTTCAGTATAGCTTTGTATTTTTGTTTAACTGCATGTTAACAACACTTTGTTTTCAACAATAAGTTAAACTGCAGTTGGAATGTAACAGTTAGACCTATGAGTAGTGTTTATAAAATTTATTAAAAACAGCAACATATAATAATGTATGTTGGATAGTTTGGTTTAAATGATCATTTGGGCTGATGTGAGTAAATGAGATGTACATATTTCAGTGCTTTGTTCTTTATGCTTTTAATAACAAAGATTAAAAAGCATTAAAAACTGAAAAATTTAGTGTTTATCAACATGTTATGTGAAGGTGGTGAGTTTGACTGAGTTTTCTTGAGGGGTCTTTTTTCTGCATGTAAAAGTTTCTTAAAAAGCAGAAGTACTAATGAGGAGGTTTTTGTCACAGCCTGAATCACTGTGATACGGGTGCAGAAGCAGAGTCATCATATGTCTGACAGTAATACACTGCAGAGTCTCCTGTCTCTGCTCGCTTGATAATGAACTGGTAATCAATGTTTGATGAGGATTTAGAGTTGAATCTGTCTGAGGAGAATCCTGTTCCAAAGCCGGGTGAGCTGCTAGAATGATGAAATCTTAGAACATACTGAGGAACCGTTCCAGGAACTTGTTTATACCATCTAACAGAATTCGCATCATATCTCTCTATGTTGCAGTTGAGAACAATTTCTTGACCTGGAGAAACTGTGTGGACAGCAGGTGTTTGGGTCAACACGATCACTGCATCAACATCTGCCAGGAAACACAGAAAAAACTGAAGATAAATTTTAGCTCTAAATATGGAATAAAAAATAGGAATGAGAAGAAGATCTTACATGTTAGAGCAGTGATGAGAGTGCAGAGGGTCCACAGCATGTTGTCAGTGTGAGGTGTAAATGATCTTTACTGTTCAGCTGAGATGTGAGTGAGATTGTGAGAAGAGATACTGGAGCTTATAAAGACACAGAGGAAACCAAAGGAGGAGGAGGTTCAACAAAATTACTTTCATTCATAGATCAAATGATTTATGAGCAGTTTGTCATTGTTGTTCACATTGTTTCACAATGTTTTGGATTCATATTCATCATTCATGCTCATGTCTGTCGTAAAATAATGTTCTCGAACAGTTAATGTAAAAGAAACAAATATTTATAACTGATGTGCTTATGCCCACACGTTACATTTTCTTTCTACCCAAGTGTGTTTATGATCGATTTTCAAGTAAAATTTAAGTGCATTTTCAGTTTATATATAAAAATGTTTTCTTGACAGTTGACAGTTCTTCATTTACATGTATCTATTTTACACAACCTCATTGTGTAACAAACACTATCCTTTTAGTCTGATTATTGCCACATGTGCTGCAGCTGGAATGTAACAGTTTTAACACTATAGACTAGTATACATCAAATTTATGTAATTAAAGCGAATCACATACAGCAGCATACACATTTGTGTGTTTGTTAGCATTTTGTGTATAATCATTTGTGTTATTGTAGATGAATGTGCACATATTGAAATTCCTTGCTTATTTATATGTTCAGTGATAAATGTTAAAATGAGTCACAAAAAAGTAATTCAGTGTTTATTTCAGTTTTTCTCGCATTGGGTCAAATCTCATCAAAGCTCTTTAAACGAGCTCTTTTGTCAGTCACAACTCTAGAGTGATCACTTTCCTGAATACTTTCCTGAATTGTTTTCAATCAAATTACTTCAAACTGAATATTTTGATAACTTGGTCTTCAGGGATGGTGAAAGCTTTATATTAATAATAATAAACTTTATTTATAAAGCACACTTAAAAACCAATGGTATGCCAAGGTGCTTAACAAGTAGCATAGAGAATAGAAGGAAGATAATAGAAATAGGACCAAAGCAAGTACTAGGTATGCCAGCAGGTAGCTGTCACTGATACATAGGAAAGCAACAGGTACAGAGCAAACAAGAAGTTAAATGAGCATAAAAGTGCATAATATAAAATCATAAAAGAAATATTAACTAGAGGGAAAGGCAAGATTGAACAAGTGGGTTTTTAGTCATGATTTGAACAGTGCAATGGAATCAGATGCGTGGAGGTTGAGAGGAAGGGTATTCCACAGTACCGGGGCAGCCAGAGCAAACGCACGGTCACCCCGGGACTTCAGCTGAGATCTGGGTTGGGTCAGAAGTAGCTGAGTGGCAGATCTAAGTGTTCTAGCAGGAGTATGTGATTTGAGAAGTTCACTAAGATAACGTTTGTGACCTCCAGGTTGGATTATTGTAATTCCTTGTACTACGGTCTTCCCTCTTCTCTTCTTCTTAGACTGCAAACAGACCAAAATGAAGCAGCCCGCCTCTTGACTGGTACCAGGAAATTTTGCCCTATTACTCCTGTTCTAGCTAGCTTGCATTGGCTGCCCATAAAGTACTGTATTCAATTTAAAATATTACTCCTTACATTCACCTTAAAAGCAATGTGAGTCACAGCAGCAGGAGGCAATGTGGTCACATGAATGACACCCACTCACAAAATCTTTGGACATGAAAGTTCAAATATTTTGGGACGATACATGTTTAACTCTAAGAAAGGAAATAGGTGGCAAAATCCCTGTAGATCCCATGATGCTGTATATTGGAGTAATTAAAGAGGATGTTGTGGTAAAAAAAATAGGCTCATTGTTGGTTACAAAACAAATAGCTCAAAGAATGTGTATATAAGGATATCTTTATGAGAGGATGGGTTTCTTGCAAAGGTCTAAAGGAGACGCCTTTTCACAAAAGTGGAAGGAATGGATTGCGTTCATGTGTCATGGTCCTGGGTCTTCTGCACATTGTTTTGTGTTTTTCATTCAACTTCTGTTCTTGTTAGATATTACCGACTGGTTATATGTAATGGTTTTAATGTTCAATGCAAAACAACAAATGACAGCAGAAAGATGCAGAAAGGTTTAGTTTCATAACTGGACTTCATTAATGTTCTTTAACAGTAAGTTAGGTTTAGCCAAACATCGTACCGTGCTCAGCTGTCTCTGAATGATCAAAGGATATGAACTGAAACATTTCCATTAAAAACAGCAGGTCCATTTTATTTTACAGGGAGCCTATTTGCCATTTACTTGAGTTACTAAGACCTGCAGGTGCATCCTGGAAACGAAGAAACAGAAGCACAGAGAGGTGATGCTTCACTAACCGAGAGTGAAGATACATTTGCAAATCTACAACCAACATTTTAAACCAGTAACACTTGCCTTCTCTCTTACTCATGAAGAAATATTAAATGATGCTCTCTAGTGGTCAAATATTACTTAGTCTGTATGTCAGAATACTTGTGTTTTAACTATGGGAGCAAGAAAATTGAAAATTTTGTGCTTATGAGTGTTGTTTTCCTCGGTGTGCCCCTCTCTAAAATGTAACAGTTCATTTCAATCACCTTCAATTTATGTTAGTGCAAAACAGTGGCGCAATTTCCCATTTATTCACAAGAAAACACATTTTTAAATCAATGCTTTTATTAATTTAATGCAAAGCATGAATTCCTGAAAATACTTGTTAAAAACCAGCAAATGAATACATGACTTAAACCTTTTGCTTTATTCAGATTTCTAACATGTAAAGACTGTAATGAGCAAACAGCACAAGCAGTAAAGAAGCAGATTTTAAA